AAATATTGGTTTAAAGCACTTACGAAGTGATAGTCCTATAATGTAGAGTATAGACCATAATAATGCTACTGTTTAAGCAGAGACTGACTCAAACAGGGCAGAAGTGTGAGGAAATAGAAGAAAATTCCCTAAAGGGACTCTGCATTTAAAAAAAAAAAAATACAGATTCTGCTTTTAATGATTTTTCTGACTGGTGAGTCAACTTGTGTAAAGCTAGTGAGCAAGGACATGTGCTTTTCTTTAAGCACCAGTAGATACCATGAGGGAGAAGTAATGTGCTTCCTTCACCCTCTGCTTTCACTGTAGCCAATAAGCTGCAAAAGCTGTGGCGTAAGGGGCAGTCTGAAGGAAGTCTCAGCTGCCCATATAAATTTGCTTTCTCCTCACAACGTAACAGATACCAGTTTTCAGCACTGTAACAGGCACATGAATAGTTATTCACAGATTTGATTTCATTTTGAACATGTTTTCAGGGTAGTTTCCTCTGAGTGTGGATTTCATTTTGTCCCAAGCATAGTTGTATACTTCTCTACAAATGACCAGTTCTACTCCATGCATACTTAAGTATGCTTTCTAGTGAATACAGACTACACAAATAGTTTCCATAATTATTTATTTGATAAACTTTACAGCACTATGTAAAGGTAACTGTCATAATAGTTGCTCCCAGGTCAATAGCTGCTGGAATGAGATGCTGTGTTAAGAAGGCACAATTCATTAGAGAGACTTCATTTTACTCATAGATCCAGTCATGAGCACAAGATTTGAAGTCAACAAGCTCTGCGGGCTGAAACCACAGCTGGATCTCCTTCTGAGCACTTTCTACGGAGTCACTGCCATGAATGATGTTCCTGTGAAGAAAGCCAATCACAAAATTTCAAAGAAACTGTCAGTAACTTGTTCATAGGGACAGACGTCTGGATTCTCATCTACTACTGAAAAGCTAGAGCTTGTGGTACAGCTCTTTTAAAATAAAAATAAATAAATAGAATAGGCCCTGATTCTATTTGTGAAGTCAGTCTATAACAGATAGTTTGTTGTGTTTAGTAGTATTAACAGCATCACCATGACCTGATTATCATTTTCATCACTTCTGAAGTATAGTTTAAAAACCCCTGGTATAAGCAACATTCTTGGTGGATTGTGTCCTACAAATTAAACTCAGCTTCAGACTAGGATTCTTATGTCTAACTACCTAAGCTTTCCAGAAGGCAACATGAAGTTCATCCTATGACAAACTGGGTCACTAAAAAGGAAACAGTACAGCCACATTAAAATAGCTTGCTGTAACACAGAATGACTTATTTTCTCTATGCATATACATTATGTATAGATAACATACCTATTTCTTTCCTTGAAAGGTATCTGGTGACTACACAATTTCTGCTCTTAAGAGTTTTTTATTCAAATGATGCTTACAATGAAAGCAGTAAATATTTAGAAAAGTTAATTTTATATAATAAATTTCAGCACCAACCTTCCCACTTGAATGCAGAAGTCACCACGGATTGTACCAGGCTTAGAATCTGCAGGATTAGTCTCTCCCAACATAACTCTGCCAGTTTTAACCACATTGAGACCCTCCCAAACCTTTAAAAAAAAATAAATAAATAAAATTATTCCATACCCATTCGAGGCATCACAGAAGATTCAGTTTTGGCACTTTGCAAGGAGACAAAGGCCTTCCCCACAAAGATCTAAATCTATCTTAGAATCTGTATAAATTAAATTGCAAAAGGAGAAGACTAGGAACAAGAGAAAATTATAAAATAAGTGGTTACAATGCTTTGTAAATTACACTTGTTTCATTGGTTATCTTTCACTGTGATAAGGCATGAGAGTAAATAGCATCGGAATGGCTACTGGTTACCAGAACATATATGAAACAAGAGAGATTTGAAAGAGAAGGACACCTGGCCTGAAGAACAATGGACACCATTGTTAACACCAATCTAGTAAATAGAAGCTTATTGAGAGACAATACTTATTTCCACTCCTGAGTGGCTCTCACATAGATGCAACTTGAAAATCTCTAATGAAGTGGCCTGCAATTAGCATCTTTAAATAGCTCAGACTCCATGGAGCGAATTCGGCACAAAACAGTGAAAACTCAAACACACACACACACACACACACACACCCCATACCTGCTCACATAGCTGTTTAAGGTAGAGACTTTCAAAGTAGTCTAATTTTAAAGTTAGCTGAAGTGTTTAAATCCCCTGGACTGCCTTGGAATTCTCAACCACTTATTACTTCACCTGCTAGGCAACTTTCAGGACTCTTCCCACATCCCTCCTGTTTCGCTAGAATCCAGAAACCACTATGAATGGCAGGGAATCCTAATGAAGTCATCATGTTCTATTCATAGGAAGTGGGGAAGGCTTTTCAAGTCAAGTTTTATAAACAGACTGTTACATAAAAATTATTTCATAGCTATTTTATAAACATCACCAGGGGTATTCTTCAGTTGTTTCATCTTCTATACAACTATTGTTGACATATATAAACTAGCAGTTCTCTTCAATTTTCTTACTATTGCACTACTTCCAGCGCAGCTCTACTAGCGTAGGACTAATGTAGACTCCCATTCAAAAGTGCTCTGGGCAGCGTTGGATGATGTGGAAATTGTTTTGTTTTCTTTTATCACTTTATTTTATATACTGGGACAGTGTAATTCAAAAAGAAATTGTTTTTAAAGCTGTAAAGTGTCCACAGAGGCTAACAAGTAAAAAAAAAAGTTTATGTAATTAGTAGAAAGATACCTAGCCATTTCCTGCACAATGTATATTTAAGTAAATACAATGCTACTCACCATGGCCACAACAGGTCCAGAATTCATGTATTTAACTAAACCAGGGTAGAATGGCCGATCTTTCAGGTCAATGTAATGTTGTTTTAGAAGGTTTTCGGAAGCCTTTAAAGAAAAGTTGAATGTGAGATTTTGAGAGCAAATAAATATAAAAAGCAGCAGCAGCTCCTTACTGCATTAATAATTAGGTGCTTCATATCAGTCATGAAATAAGTATCAACAACAAGGAGTTTGCTTCTGCAAGCTAATTATGTTTGTTTCGTATTTTACACATGCAGAACAACTCAGGACAAGTTTTGTCTAATTTTCTTTATTAACTAAAGAATTTACATAGAGGCAGGTTCAATACCATCAGCTCTTTGTTAAACTGTGATTTCTTCTTTATATTAATTTATAGCTGTGGATTATTATGAATACAAGACATCTAGAAGATTGCACTTCCTGATGTAACCTTCTAGTCATGGTCATCTTTGCTTACTTAACATTAGGTTGTATTAATTTAGGCAAAGTGTATGGTGTACCTTCCTTTCAGTTGTCTCATTGTCATATCAAACCATGACTACAACTTTCTGTTTGACAAGAAATAGAAGAGACCCAGTGTAGTTATGGTTTGATATGATGTGACACAAGTGAAAGGAAGCTACATCAGACAGAGCCTAAATTAAATACAATTCTTTCACGTTTTCTGTTCTGTTCAGTTATTCATGCAGCTTCATCCAGTTCATGGACTGTGTAGGAAAATTTGGCCTGGTATGTATATTTATATTTGAAAAGTTACAATACGCATATCAACTCTTGTGGACTACAGGTTTTCACTTTGCCAACTCCTTGATGTGGGAAAAACAATACAGGAGAATGAAGCTTCTGTACAGTTCATCTTGATGGCTAGGATTTGCAAGTAAAATTGAGAGAGAGAAAAAAAACCACATGCAGTAATAACAGGTTGACTTTTATCGCAAAGAATTGCAGGGAGCTGCATGAACATTAATTAAGCCACACAACAGCCCTGCCTCTAAGTGGGGGAGGACCTTACGTGCATGAATTTCATGGCCACTAGGCGGAAGCCCTTCTGTTCAAACCGTTTGATGATTTCTCCCACCAGACCCCTCTGGACTCCATCAGGCTTGATGGCAATGAAAGTGCGTTCGCTATTAGAAGCCATTGTCCTGCGAAAGGAAACGGGGAGCGGTAAGAGAAACGAGGCGACAACACAGGTAGAGCCAGTTTTGCCGCAATCCTGGCCCGAGTAACAGACATGCCCGAGGAGGTGACTTCAATCACCCAGGGAGTGGCTTCAAGGTCAGCAGTGCCTCAAGGGGCGAGGGATGCCACCCAGGGAAGCCACTTACAGGGATTTATTCCAGACACGTGGAGGATCCATCCCTGCTCCTGCTGGCACCTTCTCCCCGGCCCGCAGTCACTACCGCCCAGGCCCCCTTAGTCCTTACTGCAGTGCCCCCCCCTCCTCCCATCCTTTCCAATCTATCTAGATCTCTATTTACATGCTCCCCCAATGGCTCCCAGCCCAGGGGCCACGTGGTAGCTGGGATCCCCCGGTTCTTCTTCCCACGTGTCGGTCGCTCAGTTCCTTTTCGCCGCATAGGGGCCCGGCGAGCCCCGCCTGGCTACCACACGCGGCGAACCCGCCGAACCCGGCCTCTTCCCGCGCGAAACCAGGGCCTGCCGTTCGGTCTCTAGCCGGGCTCCCTGCTCCACCGCCCCGGCCGGCTCTGGAGACCCGGCCCGGCCCACGGTCCCCCTCCCGCGGTCTGGCGGGCAGCACAGGCCCCGGCTCAAGGGGCGGCGCCCCCCCGGTCTGGGCTCAACCTCCTTCCCCCGCCGACCTGCCCTGCCCAGTCCAGTCCAGTCCCCACGCCGGCCTTACCTCCCTGGAGCTGTTAAGGCCGCTGCTGAGCTGGACACCAGCCTTCTCTCAGCGTCCGCCGGGAAAGAGGAGGAGCGAGGTCGGGTGGAGCCGGAACCCACCTCGGAGGAGAGGGGCTGGCCTTCCTCCCGGCGGGGTATGGCGCCTTTAGAGCCCGCCCTCAGGCCTAGCGAGGCCTGCACCTCTGGGGCTTCACAGAAACCTCGTCCCCTCCCCAAGCCGCTGTGGGGGCCGCCGCCCCCTCTCCCGGCCTGGCGACGGAGCACAAGCCCGGCTGCTCCCAAAACGCCTGGCTAAGGGGGATGAGAGAGACCCAGGCCGCAGGGGATAAGGCCATGGCTAAACTGGGGGCGGGGGGCTCAGGCTTTGGCCAGAAGGGAGGAGACCCAAACAAAGGGGGTGAGGGATAGGGGCCAGACTCAGGACAAAGGGTGCTAGGAACAGGGTAAAGGGGAACTAGAAACAAGGCAGGCGTGGAATAGCCCCATTACCCTAAAAGCCTCGCTAGAAACTCTGTGGTGATCACATTTCGCTGGACAGACACTGAGGCAACTTTACAAAGGAGGGGTCTCAGCTTGGAAGGTCACCTCTGTTGCCTTCCTCACAGGCTAGCTCTTGAGCCAGCTATGGCTGTGAACCGCAGGACGATGTGATTTCATAACAACAAAACCTCAAATATGTAAAGGCTGTTTAATTATCCCAGCACAATCTTTTAACAATAGACATTTGTCTTGCAATTTGAGCCCTGCGTTCTTAACACCTTTTGCTTTGAGACCGTTGGGGTCTGCCACTGTTTTAGTGAAGTTGCTTCTTCCAAATTGCACTGCCAGAAGCACTGCACCTCGCGATTGCTCGAAATTACATCATCCACAAAGAGGTAAAGTGCCCAGAGGCTAGAGGAAGGACTAGTCCAGATTCTTTTGTTGTCACGTAGGAGAATGAAGCTGTGGTTGCAGTTTAAAAGTAAGAAGAATGAAAAGTGTAAGAATCAGGACTAGAACTCAGCAGGTCCTAGCTCCTACTGCTGTGATTAGACCATTAGACCTAGCACTAGGTTGCTATTTATTAATTACTGTTGTTATTGCTGGGCTCTGTACAGAGGTAGTGTAGGTTAAGTATAAAATTAAAGTTAGCTTAAGTTTGGTTAAGGAGATATATATGTGTGTTGTAAAGCCAAGAAAGGCCCTAGCTAGCAAGTAGAAGGACAGCCTTGAAAATAAGAAGTGATAAGGTCAGAAGGAATAACGTAGGGAAGATGGTTCAAAGAATAACTAATGAGATAAGTGGAAGTTTCTAAAAAGAAGGCCCCTGACAAATAGGGGGTAACTGCTTAAAATGCGCCAACACAGCCCTTCCCCAACCCATACTCCAGTGTTAAAGCCTACGTGAACCCAGATGCAATGGGTAAACTGTTGAATAGCAAGAAGGCAGGGAGGAAAGGCCTTGGGAAGAAAAGAGAGAAATTCTTAAAAGTTCACTTTTAATATCTGCCTGACCTCATTGGAGCTGACCAAAATGGGTCTAAGCATCTCTGGGTTTAGCCAGCTTGTAAGTATCTTGATCAAATGTTTATAAATGTTTTGTTACTCTGTGGCTGTAGTAAATTGCTTATTGTTTAGGCCTTTTTAGGCATGTTGAGAGCAATTGTATAACCTTTGCGTTTAATAAAGGAATTTATGGTTAAATTAGTGTGTTGTGGTTTCCCACATTAATATTAATAATTTCAAATATTAATAATTACAACACATAGAAAACACAGTTTCTACCCCTAATTTACTCTAACCAATTACAATTGTAATACTGCATAAACTTACAATATTTAATCAGTTTATATTCAGTTGCTTTCAAGATTAATCCAAGTTTCTATCTAATCTAAATATGTGATTAATCCAGTTACTAAATTATGAACTTGGAAATGCTGATTCAGTCACTTCAGATGTGGCAAGTATTGTATTTCTCCAGAAGAACCTGATCTTGACTGATCTCCCCTTCTCGTTCATTTCTGTCTATAGACACTGGAAGGCAATTCAAAACCTTTTGACAACCTTCCCTTCTCTTGATGTATCAGATCTCTCCTTGAATTCTCAGCTAAATTCTGGGAACCCTTCCTATCTCAGTTTACCTGTAAAATCTGATAATTTGTATCCCTCCACACAGTTTACTGTATTTTATAATATGTATATTTCTGTGTCTTAATATATTACATTGAACTACCCTGGCATAGATTACATAGTTTAAAAATGTGGTCTAGTGAGGATCAAGACTCCAAGTTTTCTTCATTGTTTGCCTCTGATTTACTGTGTGACTTTGTGCAAGTCACTTAACTTCTCTCTGCCTCATTTTCCTCTTGATGAAATGGAGGCAATGATATGTCCCCGCATTTTGAAAATTGCTTTGCGATCTTTGAATGAAAAGTGCCATAATTACAGTGTTGTTTGATTATTTATTTGTTTGTTTGTTTGTTTGTTGTTTGTAAAGCACTTTTAAGTCCTATGATGCATAAAAAGTGCAAAACATTTTATTATTCATTATTCACCCATTTGTGTTTTGCCATGTCTGCTGATTTGTTTTCCCTGTTGTGCTCCTTTACAAATTTGAATAACAAATTGGCTTAGCTTGGTTTTTCTGTCTCTTCATCTTTTTTATTCACACTGTGACATCAGTTTAACACTATTTTTCTTTTACATTTATTTTGAGTACACAATCACTGTTATGGCAATAAGGAAGATAATAGGAAAGTCTTTGCTGAATTTAAACAAATATCCACTCTGATTTCATTAGATGTTCATGCAGACTTCTGTTGATCTTGCTGCTTAAGATAAGCAAAAACTATATCAAATATAAAAGTACAAGGAGTCAAATCTTGAGCAAAGCAGATATACAGGGAGAGTGCTGTGTTTGGGGCTGTTATGTATGGGCCTGAATCCAGAAATACTCTGACTGGGGAGTGGGGAGGGAGTGGACTAGGTCCTATTTGAGCATGTCATGTTTTAGAGATGGACCTGAGCTGCAAAGTTTGGATCCAGACGTGGAACTGAACTTTTCAAAAATATTTAGATGTGGGATTTTGGTTTGACTCATTATTAAGATAAGGACTAACCTGAAAGTTTGGATATGATCTCTTCCCCCTACCAAAAAAACAATTTTATTTTTTGGAGCATTGTGGGTACAGGGAGGTGGTTCAAGACTCATGTAACTTTGTCTTTCTGATATTGCCCATCCTGGTAAATAAATTATGGATTACTTACAGTTATACATTTTGTTAAACATGACACTGAATTTCCCATCTTCCATGGAAATTTCTGAATAGAATTTGTCCTTATTTGAACAAAATTATGTTTGATCTACACCCTAATGATTGATCTGAAAATGCAATTTAACTATTTGTTTCTAGTTCATTTTTTAGTGCAATAATGCACCAGAAACATCAAAAACGTTTATTGGTTTGCAGGTGCACTAGCTAGTCTCAGTTTAATATGTTGCTTAAGTGACAAGGAAGCCATTAATCACTACTAGCAATGCTCAATTCCTTCAGGATTACTTCTTTAATAAGATACAGTATTTCACATACACTTCAGTGATTACCAGAGTGATTTTGTCTCCTAATCTGGTGGATGTACAACAGGGTTTGAAATGAGTTTCCTCTAGATAACATAATTGGATTACTTCTAAACATGAACCACAATTAATGGTACAAAGAACCTCAACCATAGTGACAGACAGATTTGGAAAGGGATATTAACTTGGATTGTATTAAGGTAAAAGTGGTGAGAAATGTTAGCTGTCAGGAAGAGTGTAAGGTATGTGTGGTAATATCTTCTATTGGACCAATTTCTGCTGGTGAAAGAGACAAGCTTTTGAGACACACCGCTCTTCTTTGGGGCTGGGAGAAGGTACTCCTAGGGTACATCTACACTGCTATAAAAGACCCATGTCATGACTGGCCTGGGTCAGCTGTCTGACTTGTGGGGCTTGGGCTGCTGGAATAAAAAATGCAGTGTAGGTATTTGGGTTTGGGCTGGAGCTTGGGCTCTGAAACCCTGCAAGGAGGGTGAAGGGGACAAAGGAGGGTTAGTGGGTTACTTACAGGTTGTAATGAGCCATAAATTCAGTGTCTTATTGAGTCCATGATTTTCATGTCTAGCAAGTTATGAATTAAAGCTCTGAGGCTTGTCTTGATGGTATTGTGCAGGTTTGCTTTGAGGATGTGGACTGAGAGGTCAGATATAGAATATCAGGGTTGGAAGGGACCTCAGGAGGTCATTTAGTCCAACCCCCTGCTCAAAGCAGGACCAATCCCCAGACAGATTTTTGCCCTAGATCCCTAAATGGCTCCCTCAAGGATTGAGCTCACAACCCTGTGTTGAGCAGGCCAATACTCAAACCACTGAGCTATCCCTCCCCCCACCACAGAGTGATCATTTTATGAAAAGTATTCACCCAGGGGTGATATGATGTTTTTGGCTTATCATTTTTCTGTGTGAATTCAATCAAGAGCAGAGTGATTGTCTTGTTTCACCATCATAGTTATTATTGGGGCACTTAGTCCACTGGATGAGGTACACCACATGTGACAAGCATGTGTAGGACCGAATGATTTGAAAGGTGTATAGTGGAGGGGTATTGATGATTGTAGCAGTGGAGATATGTCCGGAGGTTTTCCATTGGTCATTCTGGCAGGGTCTGGGTTGTAGCTATCTGATGATACACTGTATGAGTTCCAGTGTGGGGAAGTAGGTGACAAGTAGGGGTGTACAGTCAGATGGAGGGTTTATATCTGTAGGTTCTCTCAAGGTGTTTGGGTGGCCAGTTCCATGATGTGATCTACTTCTTTGGTGAAGTGTCCTTATTTGGTGAAGGCGGATTTGAGTGTTAAGGGGTATACCTTAGAGACTTTCTCCTTGGAGCACATTCTGTGGTACCTGAGTGCCTGGCTGTAGATGACATTTCTTGGTGTGTTTTGGGGGATTACTGGATCTACAGAGGTATGTGTGGTGATCTGTGGGTTTCTTGTAGCATCTGTAGCATTCTGTTGTTGAAGCTGATCATGATGTCCCAGAAGTTGATGCTGCTTTGGGAGTGTTCTAGAGAGAACTTGATGGATGGTTGGTGGTGGTTGAAGTTGTTGAAATATATGAGGGAGTTTAGGTCACATGTCCAGAAGATGAAAATACATCAATATATCTCAGGTATCTCATTGATTTCACAGTGCATTTGTCCATTAGGAAGAAGAGTGCAGTACTATAGGAGAATGCAGTTCTTCAATGTGGTGGAATATGTATTAATCACATTGATTTACTCCACGAAACTCATTTAACCAATACAGGTGAAATGTAAATATTTTAAAAGAAAAGCTCAGTCTATATTGGTGTGGACTAAAAATTTTAAATTTGGGTACTGAAAAGTACTTGAACCAGTACTTAATTATCTAAGTAAATAGCTTCATTTTCAGAGGTACAGCAGCTCCTGTTTGCTTCTATTACCCTTTCCCTTGAAGAGAGAGGAAATTATATCTACAAATCTTTTCCCGTTCAGATCTTATGAAGCTGAGCTCAAGGCTTACTATTTTGTTTCAGTTTACTCTGGTATCAGCTCATCATTAATGCATCAGCACTTATTATGAAGTAGCTTCTTTTTATGCAGGTTTGAGTAATAATCCTTTGGTGACTAAAGATATGAAGGTTGCTACTCCAGCTGTATATAAGAAAGCCTCTAGTTAGTTTGGACACAGCAATTTATTTTAGTGGTGAGTGAGATTATTAAACCTGTCCAGTACTTGATGAGATCTTTTATGTAGGATTAGAATGATATCTCCTCCTAGTGGTTCCTAACAAGCTTTTGTGTTCCAGTTCTTTAAAAGACTCTGAGGTACTTTGCAATACATTTCTCTTGACTATTTCCAACCACAAACAGAGAAAAGAACAAATGGACTGGATTGCTATCGAACTTTTATGATAGAGGACAGTTTTAGTCTCAATGTTTTGGTTTGTTTGTTTTTTTAATCTGGACACTTTAGCGTATTTCCCTTTTTAGTTTATTTTATAGGACCTCCTACAGTTTATGTGCAACTGATGCTATAGGACAGATAATTTGTTCACCTATAACAGATTGTGCTTTTATGTAAGTCTAGATACAAACACACACTTTTGTGGGGAATGAAAATAATGCATGAGCTGTGCAACTCCAGGCTGAGAATTGTTTGACTGGGACATCCCCAACCTAGTAAGAAAATTAGGAGTGAGGAGGAAAGTGTAGCCTCCCAATACCCTGCATAGTGGTTACCTATAGAATTTTTTTGTACAATATGAGAGAGTACAGCGAATAGAAGCTTTAACTTCACTTCTGAAATGGTGAATATTATTTTCTCTTCTCCCCACTCCTTTTTAATAGTGAAAAATTCTTGGTGTAATATCACATTATATATTGTTTCATTCAGTATAATACTATTTAGTCAGGGATTTGAGAGAGGAATGCTATGTAGTAGTCCAAAAGAATGGTACCTAAGGCCTATTTTGTATAAAATGGGATCTTTGCCCACAGCTGGGAATGCCTAAATGAGGTTACTATAGATAATGTTGTTTAGCGCTACTATAACAAAACATGCATGGGAGTGATATTCCCGCCCGCCCCTTCTACTGCTATTTAGACTATCAGCAGAAGGATTTGGTCATTGTCCTTTAACAAGAGAGGTGATAGTGGTAGAACTGCAATTGGGAGGGAGCAAGAGCTAGATTTGAGCAAACAGAAAGCATAGTGACAACAGCAGGGCACCTAATCAACACCTTTGTAGAGGAGAAAAAGCCATAAGCAGGAAGAAATGCAGAAGAACAATAGTATCAAAGAAGGAAAAACAAGATCAGTAAAGTGAAGGAGGGCTAGAGCAAAATAAGAATGAGAAATACAACAGAAGAGGTAACTGTACTCTTACTTCTCTCATTGCTTTGTGTTTGAACTGCTTACCTGAGACACATTTCTTCTGTATAAAAATATGTAGTGTATTTTATTTACACTCCATGGAGTAAGTTTAAGAGAGAGTTCTGGTACCAGGGTTCATAGGTGTTGTTATATAATATGAGATTACAAGCGGTATTGTGAGATGTATAGATGAATTAGAGCAGGGGTTCTCAAACTGGGGATCAGGACCCCTTGGGGTCGTGAGGTTTTTACATGGGGGGGTCGCAAGCTGTCAACCTCCACACCAAACCCCACTTTGCCTCCAGCATTTATAATGGTGTTAAATATATTAAAAAGTGTTTTTAATTTATAAAGGGGGTCACCAGTAAAAAAGTTTGAGAGCCACTGAATTAGAGTCAAGTATCAGGGGGTAGCCGTGTTAGTCTGTATCTACAAAAACAACAAGGAGTCTGGTGGCACCTTAAAGACTAACAGATTTATTTGGGCATAAGCTTTCGTGAGTAAAAACCTCACTTCTTCGGATTCACCTACTGAATTAGAGTGTGGAGGCCTGCCTCAGAGTATAACATTGCTGAAGGCCTAAGTGCACCTATTTAAACAGAAAAGACAAAGTGTTTGTTAAGCCTTAGAAAATTAGTCTTTTACGTAGTCTCATATCCACTGTGCTTAGTGAAGATGAGTATGCCCATGATAATGAAGAGATTAGTAGGTAACAAAGAAAGGAAAGAAACAAGATGAGTTGATGCTTTTCACATTTTTTTAACATTGTACATGCTATCCTGAGTTAAAGAAACAGTAATGTGAGCTGAAAGACGTAGCTAACAGATCACAAAATGGTCCATCTAATACATTCAGTTGATTTTCCCAATGATTTTCCAAATACACAGATGTAGCCAAATTACAAAGAACTGCTTCTCCGTTGCAGTAGGTGCAGCATGTTTAATTCAGCCACTTCTTCCTTTTGGTCATTTATGATAATGGACTATCAAGTTGGGGCAAGGCTGTACTTTCTTTTGGTTCCTCCCAGTGAAAATAACCATTTATCCCTTCCTCCTCGAAGCTTGGAGATAGACTCTCCCACTACCCTTCCCTCTGGCACTCCACAGCCACAGATTCTGGAAGAGTACAGTTTTGGAGATAAGGCTATAGCAAGATTACTCATCATTCCTCTCTTTGTAGTCTGAGTTTTTTCCAATACTCACTTTACTGGTATCAAATATTTAAAAAGGCAGATCTAAATAGTGTGATGTAGAAGTATCTATTACAGTCAAAGGAGCATTCTGAACAGAGACTGTGCTGAAGTACATTGGTCCACTTTTTAAAGAAAAATTAAGTTTTTTTTAATAAAAATACTGATTTCTGAATAGATTTAAATTGCCAGCGTCATTTAAAAAAATGGGTTTAATGCTTTCATCGTGCCTGGGTATTGGACATGAAATACTACTAAATTTCTTTTGCTTAATCAAAGGCAAATGTTTATGTGCAGGTTTCGTTTTAGGAATGAGTGATGTCAACAAGTTATTAGCAAAACACAAGAGGAAATTTTATTTCTAATGGTGATTTGCAATGTTAGGGTGTTCAGATAATTATTGTTGTGTTGTGTTTTTGCTTTTTAACTAACATGCTATTACAATTGAATAAATATGCTACTCACTTACTGGTGTATCCACTATTCAGCCAGATACCACTTCTGGCTTCTGAACTGAATACAACAGCTGGACATTGAGGACAGCCATAGCAACTCTGCAGGATGCTGAAAGGTTTGTGGCTAGAATTAAACTGCACAACTGGGACCTGTTTAATATTAAAGAAAAACTGACATATGAATAAGTTTAAATACAATGGGTAAAGTTTTAAAAAAACAGGTTGACTATGACTGAAACTTAGGCTTCTAAGTGCCAAAGTCACTTTTGAAAAAGCTTATCCAAGCACAGTTTACTTTGCCATTCAAGCAATTAAGGAAAGAATATATCTGAGCTATCCTCAGTTGTTTGTATGGAGATATGATGCAGTGCTGATATGCTTACTAATGTCAAACAGAATAAAACACCGAAGTGACAGGAGGTAAAGCTTACTGAGCAGCCCTTGCACATTAATCTTCTTTTCTCATAAAAGGACATTTTTAAAAGCTGCCATACTAATCCTGCCTTAAAATGTTACATAAATGACTGATCCTAAAGTGGAAAATGATGAGTTTAAAGTAGCAATCTAGTTAAAACCCCTATTTTCAAAGTGAAGCTGTTGCCTATGTCTAACTGCACTACTTTTCTGGTTAGAGGGGAAAAAAAAAATTCCCATAGATGTTTATCAGTTTTTAAAATTATTTTTTCCTCCACCTTACTTCTATATCATTCTTTAATTCCTGTATTTAGGGATATTATGGATCTATTTACATAGCAGCATGCATGACCTGGTGGTTTAATAAAGTTTGATCAATTTTAAGGCTACTAAGCCATTTTAGACTGTTTGCTGATGTGTACCATATACCAAGTTATCCTCTGTGGCTACAGAGTATTTCATGAAAGTTTATGCTTTGTGTTTATTCATTAATTAAAGATCCTTTCCCCTACTGTAATTGTCTTCTCTTGTCCACACACGGAGAGTTAGAAAGTTTCCCAATTAATCATTCAATAGCTTTTTAATTAGAGCAGCAGTTATTAACACTGGTTACATGTAATATTCACAATACAGATTAGAGAGAGAGAGATTTCCACTAGTTTATACAGAAGTGCCTTGAAATAACTAAAGGATAATAGCAATAGAAACTGTTTCTGGGTCCATAATCATTGGAATGAGTGGATGTTAAAAGTCACAGACCAGGTTTTACTTTTAGGGCTTGTCTACCCTGGCACTTTACAGTGCTGCAGCTTTCTCGCTCGGGTGTGAAAAAACACACCCCAGAGCGCAGCAAGTTTCAGTGCCATAAAGCGCCAGTGTAGACAGTGCACCAGTGCTGGGAGCTACGCCCCTTGTGGAGGTGGGTTTTTTAGAGCGCTGGGAGAGCTCTCTCCCAGCGCTCTGCCACTACGACACAAGCCGCGTTAAAGTGCTGCCACAGCAGCGCTTTAATGTTGGCATTGTAGACTAGCCCTTAGATCCACTGGTGAGCACAGCTTGTGTATTCAACCAATTCCTCAGGAGTGAACCACAGGTTGATCTCTGTCTCAGCACTTTCTACAGAATCACTGCCATGAATGATGTTCCTAAGAGAAGAAAAATCATTAATAATTATAAATTAAAAGCACAATATTTGCTTTTTAGAAAAACCTCTCTGATTACTATGGCTACAAGTATTAATAAAACGTACATGTAAATATGCAACACAAGCTTCTTCTCTCATCAGTTTTGATAGTGGGGGAATGAGAAGGAAAGCCACATCTCTATTTACATCCTTTGACTCCAGTCCTACATTATCTAGTGGACCATGCATGTGGATGAAGTTAATGGGGGTCTTTCCATGTATAATAGTTTGTAGAATCAGGGCCTTAATGTCCTTACCGGTTTTTCAGCAGTTAGCAAGCTTTTGCTACCAATTGTTATTTCCTAACATTCATTCTAATTTAAATGTTAAATTAAGTACATGTTACAAAATGGCATATTCTTGTTTACCAGGACAGTCTTATAGAAAGAGACCAGGAGGCAAGTCATCATGCAGAGAGCTTATTAGTTCTCATAAAATAAGTACTATTGTGTCAGTACTCAAATGGGAGACCTCCAAGAAAAAATGGAGGTTCCGTAGAAAGTATTTCAGGCCTTGTCTATATGTCCTTACTATAAGGTTGATCAAATTCCAATATTTACATTCTGCTGCTTGAATTCTTCGACAGTTTCAACTGGATATAGTGTTCACATTACAAAACTTCGTCATAAATCAATTAATTAAGTAGGTCAGTATGTATATGATTTAAAACTGGTTTAGTTTTGATAAGACAGTTTCAGAACGTACCTGCCAACTTGAACACAGAAGTCACCACGGATGGTGCCAGGTTTGGAATCTGCTGGATTAGTTTCCCCCAGCATTACTCTGCCAGTCTTAACCACATTAAGACCTTCCCACACCTTAAAAATAAAATCCATTAAGATTACAGAATCTAAACTGTAACTAACACAGGAAGAGTTGGCAATGTTATCCAAACTTGATCCCATCATCATACGGGTGTTAAGTCCCCTTTTTCAAAGAATCTATGGGCAAGGCATAGAAGGATTGGAGTAAAACTGTCTCCGACAAACCGTAGTCATTCCACTGACTTCTAGCCAAAGTGAGAGGGTACTGAACAGATTTCAGTGTAACAAACAAACAAGAAGCCCATTACAAAATTTCCTAAGCACATAAAGCTTCATAGAAATCTCAAATACTTTAGAGGTATACACTCTTTAACCAAAAAAAAAAAAAGTCACACTTGTAGCAATCATAGGTTACAATCAACAGCTAACACAGAGGAGTTCTCTACTTGAAAGATTAAGTGTTTCACTGTTCTTTTTTCCAGTTTACTTATTTTGTGTATTTGACAGCACTTTGTGCAGTCAGTTTCCCACTGTTCATCCCCTACCCCCCAGCACATTGCAAAAGAGAAAATAAAGTTTTTTTTTTAAAGAAAGATTTACTCGTAAAACCACACATTAAAGGGAAACATGTTGTACCTGTAACTACATTTAATAAATTTTTTTAAAAGTATTTAATTTCAAGTTCTTAGTGTCATTTTCAATATGTAACACAAATAAAGTTATGAACAAAAGACACATCAACTGCTTAATTTTTCTTAAGTTTTATTTTTAAAAGCTTACCATAGCTACAACAGGTCCAGAGTGCATATATTTAATCAAACCAGCATAGAATGGCTGATCTTTCAAATCAATGTAGTGTTCTTTCAGAAGGTCTTCAGAGGCCTGCACACACAAAAAAGCAGTTTACTGTAAGAACTTAAGAGCATCTTTAAATCACAAGAGATTAACCACAGAGCACTATTAATCCTTAAACAGACATGCTCTTTAAAAATAAGTGATTCCAGCAACTGGCTAGATGTGTTGCTTGGTTTATATGAATTTAAAATATAAAATTATTTCAGTGCAGTTTAACTCAGCAAGGTTGTTTCATCAATATCCAACTACTTTTGAGAAGAAACCAATTTTTGCTGTAGATGATCTATAAATGCCTATTAAGTGTAAATGGCACCTATAAGAATATTCCCTTCAGACTAAGGACATCAGTTTACTAAAATTAGGTTGCTTAGGCTGTCAAAAGCATTTAGCTACAGCTGGATGCTGGAAAGTCTCCAAAAATATCCAGACACAAAATTTGACATTTGATATTTCTGTTAAGATTTCATTTTAAAAAATTACAATAGATTTTTTCACTGAGTGAAGTACACTAGCCTGCTATAAGATTTCATTTCATACATAAAGGAGAAATATAGAAATGAGGAAAACTTACGTGCATGAATTTCATGGCCACTAGTTTGAAACCCTTCTGTTCAAATCTCTTGATGATTTCTCCCACTAGTCCCCGCTGGACTCCATCAGGCTTGATGGCAATGAAAGTGCGCTCGCAAATGGATGCCATCATCCTACAAGAGGAGAAAAAGGGACTCTGTATTCCAGGACCAGCAGGCAAATGCAGCCACAACAGAAATCTAGAAGGCATACCCACAATCTTCCACAACCTTATTGTGTTTATGTGTACTTGTAAGTCAAAGAATATCCAAAAAGTGCTATAAAAATAAACGTAACGTAATAGCCCTATAAACACTGAAGAGAGCAATTAGTCCATACCAGGAATGAAGAGATTCTATACAGATTGTATTGCAGGTCAGTGTATTCCAAGATGCACACTGATAGGATGCTACCCTCAATTTAAGACAAAACAGGCTCAACTAAGAGCGTGTGTATCACTTTGATCTATAGTTATCTACAGCCAGTCAGTGTTGTAATGAAGTATGCTAAGAATGTGTGTGGGGACTGGAAGGTAAGAAAGTCATACTGGAGTAGCCAATGTGTCATTTTTAGAGGCACAAGCTGACAACTATAGTAGCTACAGAGTCACTATGGTTTACAATCGTAAACCTGAAATTAAAAACTAATCTCTAAGATTATAAAACAGTTAAAAGTATGGTGCTAACACAATCCCCGTTTCTAGAAGTATAGCATAGACTGAACAATTTGAGAAACAAGCTAGTTATTCCAGAGCAGCTGTGAACAAGCTAAGGGCGCTAAAATAATAATAAAAAAGCAATGTAACACCTAGTACTAATGCTCCCGCTGCCAATAGCCCTGGACAGATGGCAGCCAACAGCCAAACATGTAGAAATCTAATTACAACGCCTTTCCCCTTGCATTGACCCTGCTTGCATGTCAGTTGGATCATTCATAACTGCATATGCCCTCGCCCCATCCAGCCCCTTCAATGCTCCCCTATCCTTGCCCCTTAAATCATCCCTAGCAGCGCCCACCCCCCTGCGCTCCCCTCTCACCTGCTCGCCTGCAGTCCCGGACCCTGGGGCGGGTCGGGCGATAGCTGCCGTAACACCGCCGCCGCCCCCAGCCTCGCTACCACCCAGCTCTAAACACGCCCCCACGTGCCCAGCGCATACCGGGCCGGAGCCGGCCGGGCAGCCGCAAGGGGCCCGTGTTCCACCCCACTCCCCCGGGGACGCTTGTCTCGGGGCGCGGATACGCCATCGGGGAGGACTGGGGCGACGCTCTAGCCCGACACTGGGGGACGCAAGATTAAGGAGGGAGCAGAGCGACTCTAGTACCATCGAGTCCTAACTGCGCCGGGAAGTGGGCGGCGCTCTTGCTGCGCATCTCCATCTCTATGGTAGGGAGGAGCTGAAGGCGCTGCCTGTCTCTCCCGGCGCGCGGCCAGGGGCTGCTCTGGGCGCTTTCCCAGCAGGGGCCGCAGGGCAGCCTCAGGGATTCCCAGCAGGGGAGACACGGGCCAAGAGTGTCAACGTGTACGGACCCCTGGGTACGGTTTCAAAGGAGACTTCGCCCGTGCTAACCGAGCACAGTGGGTGCAAAGCAGGTGCAGGCACCGCCCTACGGTGCTCAGATGTCCCGATTTTATAGGGGCAGCCCACATGGGGCCTTTTCTTATATAGGTACCTGTTCCCCCACTACCCTCTGTCCTGATTTTTCACACTTTCTATCTGGTCACCCTACACCGCCCTGTGCTCCGCCAGTCATACGCATGCAGTTGTGTCTACATGGGGAAGTGTTACAGATTATAGATACACTCTTTTCTGGACTTTCTCCAGTTTGTCCACCGTACAAGAGT